AGATCTGCACGCAATAGAAAAAAACAGAAATTAGGAAGGCAAACCGACATAGAAAAGCTTGGGCATTAAATTACTTAAAATTAAATTTACAAAATTACCCTTGCTTTATTTTACACATTTTTATTTGCTACTTTTGTTTTTTTTTTTTTTGGCTAAGGGGCAATTTGGTTCTATTGATTTTTGTCGAAGACGTGACCCCAAAACTGGGGCTTTGGCATTATATATAAAAGATAATATTTCAGCGTATCATACAGTTACTTTCTCAAGACCCTTAACAGAAGAGAGAATAAAATTCCAATACGATTTGGGTTTCCTAGATTTCTGGGGTAAGGATATCCGAAACATGGTTGGGTAAGGACTTATATTAGGGCCGGTTAGGGTTTTCTGTTCTCTATATAAGCAGATAGATGTTGCTATAATCCTCGACTTATAATTTGAAAAAGTTTTCTGGTGGATTGTTATACTTTCTCATATTGTTGTTGTGGGTTTGGTTCATCATCTTTCAGTACAAGGGACATGGCGCCATTTGCGACTTCTGATGGGATAGAGGCGATCATGAGCTTCGATGAGATAGGGTTGAAGGATGATGTGCTCTGAGGCATTACGAATATGGGTACGACAAGCCCTTCACCATCTAACTACGGGCGGTCAGGCGTATTATCGAGGGTTATGATGTCATAGCCCAGTCCCAGTCAGGTACCAGCAAAACCTCCATGATTGCCCTCACAGTTTGCCAACTCGTCGACACCTCCTGCCAAGAGGTTCAAGCTTTGATATTGTGTCCCACTAGGGAACTAACTTCACAGATGGAGAAGGTGATATTAGTAATTGGAAATCACATGAACATACAAGCGCATGCTTGCATCGGAGGCAAAAGCGTGGCTGAGGAAATTCAAAAGCTTGAGCACGGAGTTCATGTGGTGTGTGGAACTTCAGGTAGAGTCCATGACATGATCAAGAGGAGAAGTATGCGCACTCGAGCCATTAAATTACTATTCCTCGATGAATCTGATGAAATGTTAAGCAGATCATTCAAGGATCAGGTTTACAATGTTTATAGATATCTTCTACCTGAACTACAAGTCTGCTTGATTTCCGCTATGCTTCCTCAAGAAATCATGGAGATGACGAGCAAGTTTATGACGGACCCTGTAAGGATCCTTGTCAAGCATGATGAGTTGACTTTGGAGGGAATCAAGCAATTTTTCGTTTCGGTTGAAATAGAAGAATAGAAGTTTGATACGTTGTGCGATCTCTATGACACTCTTACAATTACACAATCTCTTATTTTCTGCAACACAAAACGAAAGGTGGATTGGCTGATAGAAAAGATGCGGAGTAATAACTTTACTGTATCTTCCATGCATGCAAACATGCCTCAAAAGGAAAGAGATGCCATTACCCAAGAGTTTCGTGCTGGAAATACTCGTGTCCTGATCACCACTGATGTTTGGGCTCGGGGCCTCAATGTTCAGCAGGTAAGTTCTTGATCTAATTATCTTTTATACCTTGACAGACAAGTTCCTATGAATTTTAGGGGAGCTCGTGCTATGTGTGTGTGTGTGAATATATATGATATACATACAAGTTTTGGTTGAACAACTTTTTCTAATATGTTGATGTTTTCCCCTTCATCAGGTTTCCTTGGTTATCAACTATGATCTTCCAAACAATTGAGAGCTATACATTCATCGGATTGGTCCTTTTGGTCGTTATGGGCGCAAGGTATGTGTGCATGTACTTTAATTTTTATTATGTCATATGTTTTTGTCGACTCATAGTATTTATGCTCGTTATCGCAATATGTATGCCAAACATATTTTTATAGTCTTCGTTTCGTTAACTTATGTTTTTCAGGTTCTCAACATAATTGCTACAATTTGATTATTCTTTGCAGGGTGTGGCCATAAACTTTGTCAAAACCAATGATATCAAGATCTTAAGAGACATCGAACAGTACTACAGTACCCAGATTGACAAAATGCCGATGAACGTTGGTGATTTGATATGAGAGCTTTGTTGCTGTCCATTGTCATCGTCATAATTTGATATATTATAGTTATATATACTTATGTTAAATGTACTACGCCACATTAATTTGTTGACAAACGTATGAGTTTTGAATTTGATATTTCAATTTTTCAATTTGTATAAAAAGCATAAAACTTCGTACAAAATGTATTGTGCAAAGATATATATGATCAAGTTTGCAAAATTGATACCACTCTTGGCTTCGGCCAAGAATCATATTTTAGAGAAAGAGAGAGGGGTAAGCAGAAAACCGAGCTATTTCATTCATAGCAGAGCGATAGACATTTCTTACATGAGCTATTAAGTGGTATTAGTGAGATCACCAACAAATTCGTAAGGGTATCTAGATAATAATGTTGCTAAAATGTTCCTACAATGTGAAAAAAGCTAGGCGGTATATGTATAACAGTGCGGTCTTGTGTACATGTATTTACTCAATTCTGTATATGTAATATGTCTATCAGTGCGGTCATCTATATATATATAACAGTGCTGCTATCACCCAATAGATCTCAACAAAACCTGCAACCTTCACTGGTATTCCACAATCTGTGTGGTGATCTGTGTATTCAGCATAGTTCAATGCCTCTTGTATCATTCATCGCTACATGACCCTACAAATAATCAAAATAGCACATTGTTGTTAGAACTTGCAAACATAAGCTAACAATAAGCAATCAGCAAAACAGACTAACAATGGAAGGCAGCTTGCCTGCCGAACCTTGAGGCTCGACTTAAGTATCTGTTGCCAAAAATATGTCTGAATATGACAAAAACCCTCTCCTTATTGCTAAACACACTGAAGTGTACATTAAGTAGCACTCCGGGCATTGGATCAATCCACTGATGGTCTATATTCTCATTCCTAGAAGTCACACCTATAACATGTTCATCAAACTCAGCTCTATGCCATTCATTTTTCATTGCCTGTCAAATATTTAAGCGAAATAAACATCAACAATGAAATTTCAATTACATTGAGAGGTAAGAGGAATTATCAGGTACCTTGAACGCATCTTGCCCCATTTCCATGATATATTCATAGTCCAATATCAAAAAGTCAACCGGCAGACCGCAACTACAAGCCTCCTGAACACGGTCCATGATATAATCCAGTCAACTCACACAAGTGAAGTGAAATTCAGGATTGACTGCGGATGGAGTCGGCACCCATTCATTTTGAGTAAAGACCTCCTGGATAGTAGACTGAAAGTCTTCTGAAATTAAAAAATCATGATACACATTACAAAAACTATATGTTTACCCACTTCACGGCCTTGTAAGAAATCATTCAAAAATAGTACAAGAGAAGAAAGAGAAGTAGTTACCCTGTTTTCACTCCCAACATCAAAGGCTGCAATGTTAATATAGGCATGTTTCACCATCTCAACACTAAATCCTGAAACGGTAAACAATAGGCACAAAATGCATAAGAAATCAGAAGTAGGCATAAAGAGGATAGGGGGCTACGGGCTCACCGGGGGTGACTATCTCAGTAGAGACTCCTTCAAAGTGAATCTTGTTCAAGATGGTGGTCTTGCCAGAACCATTAAGATCCGCCATCAAAATGAGCTTGTCCCTCCGTGATTTGAGGTCTGCCAAAAGGGTAAAAAATTCCAAATCGAGATCCATAGCACCTAAAACAAGTAGAACCAGAGGCATTATGATTAATGACTAACAGAAAAGTTTAGAGGTCATACTCATTGAATGATTTATCAAATGAAGAACTACCAATCACACACCTACTTGATAATTTCAAGAATGCATAGAATTTGAAAATTTAGAGAGTATATAGAGTAACTAGCTTTCACAAAATATCAGTTTTTGTAAATTGTAAGTAAAACATAGGTCAATATTATACTTACCTACACTATCTTGCTAGCTTAATGTGAGTTATTTTTAACAGTGTACATGGTCGATTTTTTTCGAATTCCACAACAATTGATCGAGGTCTAGATTAAAAGCTATTTTCATTTATTTTTTATATTCATAAAGACATTGATCGATTTCAAACAAAAATGGCCAAATTTACATTTTCCACAAATCATGGTGACAATTGTGATAGAAGCCATATCTGCCACCTAGACAATGGATCGATCTTCACAAAACCAGGTTAGCATACTAAGATAATTGTCTAACACATTGTCCCGACCTTTTCGTGGGCAATCCTGATTAATTAACATATTAGAGCAGCATTAGGATTATGAAATATATAATATTTCAACGTATCATACTTTCTCAAGACCCTTCACAGAAGAGAGAATAAAAGTCTATTACGTTTGCATTTCCTAGATTTATAGGGTTAGGATTTCTGAAACATGGTTGGTTAAGGACTTATATTAGGGTTAGGGTTTTCTGTTTTCTATATAAGCATATAGATTTGCTGTAATCTTCAACTTATATTTTGAAGAAGTTTTATGGTGGATTGTTATACTTTCTCATATTGTTTTTGTGGGTTTCAACGTATTATTGTTGGAGCATAAGCATGGCAGTTGGATCAAGCATTCAAAGTTGCTGCAATATGAAAGAAGAAGCTCTAAAATGTTTAAGCGTCATTCTTAGCTAAGTTTATATATATGTGTAATAAACGGTAAAGCTTATATCATCTTAATGGTGTATAATTTGACACGTGTTCAGTTTGTTAGATGTTAAGTGCAACCATGTGAGTAGCACGTGATCACAGTCACAATGCTTTGATGATGTTGGCAACGGCTATATAGCTAGTTTGTAGCTGAGTTTCTTGGTGCAAATCCAACATAGATTCGAGGGAGCAACGTATTCCTTCTTCTCAAAAGTTCATCTTTGTCATTCATTTTGCAAATTCATTTCAATTACTTGTTGAATTTGTTACAAATTGATAGAGAAATTTAGCTCAAACACTAACATGGCCTTACAAGTTGGATTTGAATCTGGGAGTGAATCTGTGAATGTTTGGCTAAGTTCTCAACAAAGAACTCAGAAGTTTAAAAATGGCTGGATCTAGCACAGATCTTTGTGTGCAAGTATTGATTAGAGTCAATTATGAATTTTGGTGTATCAGGATGAAAATAATTTTCAAGTCTCACAATCTATGGAGCTTTGTTGAAGATGGTTTCACATTGTCAAAGGAAGGGAATGAGACGGATGAGAAGCAAATTCTTGCTAATCAGGATTTCATCTCTAGAGATGCAAAGGCATTGGGACTGATACAAGGAGCTGTGAGTGATGAGATCTTTCCTAGAATCGCCAACCAAGAGACTGCAAATGATGCTTGGATGTTCTTAAGTAAGAATTCAAGGGTGATGCTCAAGTCATGGCTGTGAAATTACAAGGTATTCACCGTGATTTTGAATAAGCTACGGTGATAAATAATGAATCTCCCTCTGATTATCTAGCTAGATTATCTGGTCTTGTGAATAAGATGAAAATGTTTGGTGAAACCTTGCCAAATAAGAGACTAGTTGAGAAAATGTTAATTAGTCTAACTCCTACATATGACAATATTGTTTTTGTTATTGAGGGAACTAAGAAATTGGATGAGATTGATCCAAATGAAGTTGTTGCAACTCTGGAAGGATTTGAGCAGAGATTGAAAAGACATACTGAAGATGAGGAAGTGAGTGATAAGGCATTTAGCAGTCTTAGTATCCAAAATAAAAGTGGATCACATACCATTGGTACAAGAGGAAGAAACCTTTCAAATTAAGAGATAAGAATGGTGATTTTAAGGGTAATGATAGGTCTCAAAATGTTGTCAACCCCTAGTTTAACAAGGAGAACACAAGAGAGGCATGTAAAATATGTGGAAATGTACACTACGGTGAATGCAGATTCAAAGGGAAGCCTAAGTGTCACAATTGTGGCAGATTTAATCATTTTTCCAGAGATTGCAAAAGTAAACCAGTTCAACAAGTTTAAGTGGCACAACAAATGGAGGAGGAAACCTCTATGTTATTTGCTTGTGATTCAGCTGCAATTGTTAAAAGTGAACATGTCTGGTATATTGACAGTGGATGTAGCAATCACATGACTTCACATGAGTCTATGTTGATTAATCTGGACAGAAATGTCTCAACAAGAATCAAAATGGGGAATGGACAGATTGCTCAAGCTTGTAGGAAATGAGCTTTGGTGATTGAAACCAAGAAGGGTACCAGACACATCAAAGAAGTAATGCTTAGATGAAAACCTTTTAAGTGTCGGGCAAATGATGCAGCATGGTTACTTTTATTATTTGGAGATGATCAGGTTGCAATCTTTGAATATACAAGTTTGGAGAGTCATGTTGTTACAATACAAATGACTTGCAATAGGTGATTTCCACTACTTACGGAAGACATGAATGGTTCCGCTCTAAATGCCAGTTATGAGCGTGATGCTTGGGAATGGCACAAAAGGCTGGTACATTTGGATTTTAGCAACTTGCAGTTGTTATCTGATAAGGAAATAGTGTTGGGATTACCAAAGCTCAAGAAGTCATCTGGTGTATGTGAAGGATGCATTGCAGGAAAGCAACACGGAAATGTCTTTAGTAAAGAGTTGACATGGAGAACAAGCAAGCCTCTGGAATTAATCCACTCAAATGTTTGTGGACCAATGCAGGTCACAACATTTGGAGGAAGCAGATATTTCTTAACTTTCATTGATGATGCAACCAGAATGTGTTGGGTTTATCTTCTGAACCACAAATCAGAAGTGGTCAAATTGTTCAAGAAATTGAAAGCCATGTTTGAATTGCAGAGTGGCTACCAATAATGTTAAGAAGTGACAGAGGTGGAGAGTATAACTATTATGAATTTAATCAATTTTGTGAAGACTTGGGGTTGGAGAAATAGTTGACTGTAACTTATTCTCCATAGCAAAATGGTGTTGCTGAGAGGAAGAACATAACCATTGTTGAAATGGTTAAGAGTATGCTTCATGACAAGCACATGTCCTATGAATTTTAGGGAAAAGCTGTTAACATAGCTATGTACTTGCTCAATAGGTGTCCAACCAAGGCTATGGCCATTTGAAGCTTTTAGTGGCAGAAAACTAGGTATTCAGCACTTGAAGGTGTTTGGATGCATTTGTTATGGTCACATACCAAATGTCATGCTTTGAAGTTTAAAATGTGAACTAAGTCTTTGAAGTTTAAAATGTGAAAAAATGTGAACTAAGTCTTTGAAGTTTAAAATGTGAACTAAGTGCAATAATTTACATTTATCATGTTATTAATTATTTTCTTTTATCTTTGTCTACATTTTCACTTATTTTCACATTTTGAAAAGAGTTTCATCAATATAAACCTTAATGAATTTGCTTGTATCCTTTTTCAATCATGCTGGTGAAATGAGTTTCTTTCCATGCAAATTTTGATTACATTGAAACACGTTGTGATTTAGAATTGAGACTGAAATTTTTTAAATAAGGATGTCATCTTTTTCTCATTTTTATTCTAGTAGATTGCTAACCAATGTTAAACCAAAATAATGCAAGATCATTCAATATGCACTCAAACACTTGTCACATGAAGTAGGGGTACCTAACACTCCCTCACAGTTATTTTATTACATCCTTATAAATGAATATTTTGTGTCATTTGACTCATTTCAATACTTATACATAACGTAAAATTGACTTAGACAATCGAAAAAAATGTAAAATCAATATAGTGTAATTTTGTATTTTGAGGTGTTATGGAGAAATTGTCTAATTCCGAAAGGATAATTAGCAATATAAAATATTGGAGGAAACTAAAAAGTTATATTCCCGAATTGGCCAATCTTGTATTTCGGAGTTGATCTATTCATGAAAGTTGTAACGCTTGTCATTACGAGTGATTACAGCTGATTTTGAGGTGTGGGTATCATATCAGATGGAATATGGGTACGACAAGCCCTCCGCCATCCAGCAACGGGCGATGAGGCGTATTATCGAGGGTTATGATGTCATAGCCCAGTCCCAATCAGGTACCGGCAAAACCTCCATGATTGCCCTCACAGTTTGCCAGTCGACACCTCCTGCCAAGAGGTTCAGGCTTTGATATTGTGTCCCACTAGGGAACTAGCGGCTGAGGATATTTAAGATCTTAAGAGACATCGAACAATACTACAGTACCCAGATTGACGAAATGTCGATGAACGTTGGTGATTTGATATGAGAGCTCTGTTTCTGTCCATCGTCATCGTCATAATTCGATATATTATAGTTATATATACTTATGTTAAATGTATTACGCCACATTAATTCGTTGACAAACGTATGGGTTTTGAATTTGATATTTCGGTTTTTCAATTCATATAAAAAGCATAAAACTAAAATGTTTTGTGCAAAGAAATATATGATCAAGTTTGCAATATTGATACCACTCTTGGCTTCGGCCAAGAATCATTCGAAGGGATTAATTTTGTCTTAGAGGAATTAAGGGGCAGTAAACCCATGCATATTTGAGAGAGGTCAGCAGAAAACCGAGCTGAAGTAGTGTTACATGTCAGTTTCCTAGGAGGCGTTAATTTGAAAATTTAGAGTGGACTTAGACAGAAGATAAAGGGAACTGAATATATAGTGAGACTGAATCTTAACTACTACTGATGTAACACAAACATCAGTTAACAGTTAAAAATAATTGGAAAGTTGTTGGTTTACTTACTAGTACATCCAGTTTGACTTATATTAACTGTAACAAACCTCTAGGAAAATTGCAACTCAATTAAAATGGAGGAAGGACAGAATTAGGAATTGCTTCTAGGGCATATACGGAAACAAATTTTCTAATTTTGGTCCCTTTCCAAGAAGGGAGTTACAAAATATCCAGATTCTGCATTCTGCAGAATCCAACTACTACATCCAGCCAAGATTCAATTCCCAAATCAACATCAAATTAGCAGAAATCCCCAATAAAAAAAAACCGAGGAACAAAGCTACATTGTTGTCTTCATGACTTCTTGTTTAAGAAAAGTCAGCTAAGTAGTTAGTATGTTATACTTACTAGTGTTTTTTGTCTCACATATTGTTTTTTGTCCTACTCTCACATATTGTTTTTTGTCTTACTTTAACCGAAACATTACTCTACTTTGATAAAGAAATCAATAAGACATGGCAGTAGTTTCTAGGAAAGAGAAATGTAATTAATTAACATGGATGGAAATGCAGAATTTCGAATTATTTCAAGTGTGGGAAACCAATTTTCAAACTTAGGCTCCTTTCCAAGAAGGAAAGGGTTAGAAATTTTCCAGGTTCTGCATTCTGCAGAATCCAATGACTACATGCATCAACCAACATCCAATTTTTCAACCAAATCCAACACGAAAACAAGCATAAATCCCACTCGAAAAATGGAGGAACAAAGCTAAAGATACGCAGTTCTTGGAACAAAAATGTCCAATTACTAGTTCTAACAAAAAAAAATCCATAAACCCAGTTGAGAAATCGAAGAAACAATCACATTAAATTACACAAATTCGAGTCTTACATCAGAACCTCATTTGAAGAAAAAAAAAATCCAATTCAGAAAGTAAAGAAAAAATACACTGCTATGGAGAAATTCGAGTTCTTTAGCAGAAATCCACTTGAAAGAAACAGGGGATTGAAAAAATATAAGCAACCCTAAATAGAAATTTGCAGAAACCCAATTCAGAAATCAAAGAATCATTCGAAGGGATTAATTTTGTCTTAGAGGGATTAAGGGGCAGTAAACCCATGCATATTTTAGAGAGAGAGAGAGGGGTAAGCAGAAAACCGAGCTATTTCATTCATAGCAGCGCGATAGACATTGGATCAATCCACTGATGGTCTATATTCTCATTCCTAGAAGTCACGCCTGTCAAATATTAACATGTCCGTCAAACTTAGCTCTATGCCATTCATCTTTCATTGCCTGTCAAATATTTAAGTGAAATAAACATCAACAATGAAATTTCAGTTACATTGAGACGTAAGAGGAATTATCAGGTACCTTGAACGCATCTTGCCCCGTTTCCATGATATATTCATAGTCCAATATCATCAAGTCAACCGGCATACCCCAGCTACAAGCCTCCTGAACACAGTCCATGATATAATCCAGTCGACTCACACAAGTGAAGTGAAATTCAGGATTGACCGCGGATGGAGTCGGCACCCATTCATTTTGAGTAAAACCTCCTGGATAGTAGACTGAAAGTCTTTATGTTCATCTTTGTCTTTACCTATTTCTTCACCACTGCAGCTTATATCCTCATCTTTATCAACACAAATTAACACGTGCACATGAGGGACCTGCCAATGAAGAGGAATTATATAGGTAAGAAAACACAAAATGCAATCTGTTCAATGTCCATGAATTATGCCTGTTTTTAAGGACACAGAAATGTTGCAACATTATATACCAATCCACAAACTATTAACAAGAGTTAATTAGTTTTCTTATCGTAAGCAAATTCTAGGCAATTACCATGGAATCAATGGCCCGAAAAAATTTACGCAAAGCCTCAAGCAAGCCATCTCCACTGATTGCACAAGTACTAGAAATATGCCTGAAAATTACATTGACAGCAGTTTTATGACATACTTTATTATCTGCAAATCGGAATTTTTACATGAGATCAAAATAAATTCCACATATCTCAGTTGAATGATAAAATAGTTTACCACTGATTGATTCTGAGAGACTTAATATCCAGCTCTTTGCTCAACTCTTCTGCAGTCATTGCAGTACAAGCACAACAACGTTCTTGAGTTCATCCTGCAGCCAAATTCAATTCATCGTTTTAAAAAAACATAACTCAAATATTTTATATTTCCAAACAACTATTCGTGGAAATCACGAAACTACCTCCTGCAACATCCTGTGTAACTCATCCCTTGCCTCCAACACTCGGTTCTGGTCGTTGCTATCTACCACAAAAATAAGACCTTTCATGTTCTGGAAATGCTGCATGTACAGTGGAGGTATCTGTATTGGGAATATCTAGAACAGTCACTGCCTATGAAAAAGTAGAACTTCTGAAATTCAAAAATCATGATACACATTACAACTATATGATTACCCACTTCACGTAAGAAATCATTCAAAAATAGTACGAGACAAGAGAGAGGAGCTACCCTGTTTTCACCCCCAACATCAAAGGCTGCAATGTTAATATAGGCATGTTTCACCATCTCAACACTACATCCTGCAACAGTAAACAATAGGCACAAAATGCATAAGAAATCAGAAGTAGGCATAAAGAGGATAGGGGGCTACGGGCTCACCGGGGGTGACTATCTCAGTAGAGATTCCTTCAGAGTGAATCTTGTTCAAGATGGTGGTCTTGCCAGAACCATTAAGACCCACCATCAAAATGAGCTTGTCCCTCCGTGATTTGAGGTCTGCCAAAAGGGTAAAAAATTCCAAATCGAGATCCGTAGCACCTAAAACAAGTAGAACCAGAGGCATTATGATTAATGAACAAATTTTCTAACTCTGGTCCCTTTCCAAGAAGGGAGTTACAAAATATCCAGATTCTGCATTCTGCCGAATCCAATTCCCAAATCAACATCAAATTAGCAGAAATCCCCAATAAAAAAAACCGAGGAACAAAGCTATATTGTTGTCTTCATGACTTGTTTAAGAAAAGTCAGAATCCAATAACTACATTCGGCAGAATCCAATAACTACATGCATCATCCAACATCCAGTTTTTCAACCAAATTCAACACGAAAACAAGCATAAATCCCACTCGACAAACGGAGGAACAAAGCTAAAGATACGCAGTTCTTGGAACAAAAATGCCAATTACTAGTTCTAACAAAAAAAATTCCATAAACCCAGTTGAGAAATCAAAGAAACAATCACATTAAATTACAAAAATTCGAGTCTTACATCACAACCTCATTTGAAGAAAAAAAAATCCAATTCAGAAAGTAAAGAAAAAATACACTGCTATGGAGAAATTCGAGTCCTTTAGCAGAAACCCACTTGAAAGAAACAAGGGATTGAAGAAATATAAGCAACCCTAAATAGAAATTTGCAGAAACCCCATTCAGAAATCAAGGAAACAATCAAATTATACGAAAGAAATTTGCAGAAGCGGACCGTTCGGACTGATCAAGCAACTGGGATAGCAGAACGCATGCAACCCGAAAATCGTTGGCCTTCGCTTCCTCTTCCTGCAGGCTTCAAGAATTGGGATTGAATTTGATATGGTTTTCACTTTCAAGCTTCAAGCTTTAATCTTTAGCTCTCTCTTTCTCTCTCTCTCTTTCGTCCAAGCCTATGGTTCTTGAAAAGTCACTGACGACCCGAAGAAGTTTGTCTGTTACGTTTTCAGGCTCTGCCTTTTGAGTTCTCCGGATTACAATTTTCCCGCTCGAATTGGAGTTTGATCAATTTACAATAATGCTCCTTCTATGAGAGATAATTACAAGTTTTTACCAGCGACCTCTTCCCCTTGAGGCTCGTGTGAGCTGTGAGGTGGTTATGTGACATGGGTATTTTAGTCATTTAGGTTTAAATTTTTTGCGTTGGACATCATCCCACACGAGAGCGAACAGATTTTTTGGATTCTTTTTATCTTAAAAACACCTCCAACAATTTTGCCCCCAATTGCACTAAAACAGTCTGTTACGCAAATAAAAACAACGGAATAACCGAAAAATGTCGTCTCATTTATGGTACTAGCTAGTGTTTTTTAGCCTATCTAGTTCTACTTGGTTCTTTACTTGGACTAGGACGTTCCCTATTTTTTACGTATTGGGTTTTCCGAGTTTCTTGTGTCTTGTTGGCATTAGGGCTAGTTCAGAGATTTTTGAGACCCGGGACGACACTAAAAAATGTGCCCTCACATCATATAAAAAAATTATTTGTTTTCACACGTAAGATATCGATAAAATTATATTTAGAAAAGCGCTTCAAACTCAATAATTTAAAAACACGGAATAACTAATTTATTTTGTATCGAAAGAAGGAAACCAAAAAACTTCGAGCTTACAAGTAGATAGATTATGAGTTTTGTTTTCCATCTAAACTTTTAAAATGCTTTTGTATAAATCGAAAATGCTTTTGTATAAATCGTGAGGTATTTTTTCTTATTTACTAACCTAGTTAGTATAAGACTAAAATTATAATAATATTTTCGAGTCTCTAAGGATATGTATAAGTAATGAATGAACATTAAATTAAACCTTTTGATGACACGTAATATTATTTGCAAATTTGGTCTAAAAAATTAGTCTACGCCTTACTCTTTGTTGAATATTAGATTTGAATTGGAATGGATATTTAAAAATAACAACTCACATAACTACTAGCTAGTAAATAAATTAACAACCAAATAAAAATTTGTAAAAAATTGAAAAAAATAAGCATGCATATAGTATTTCGAACTTAAGACCTCTCGTTAATTTTAAACAACAAAAACCATTGCTTATAATTAAAAAGATATTTGTAAAAATTGGAATGTAAATAAACACACATGGTGTTTTGAACCTAAGACCTCCTCATTAATTTTAAACAATGAAACCACTAGTTCTAGTTAAATTCTTTGTCACTAAACCAAATTTTATAAATTTATACTCTTATAAAAATATATCATCCTAATAATTTTGGTGCCCCTAATTTTTTTGGGCCCCAGACGATCGTCCTGGGCGCACTTGACCTGGGCCGGGCCTGGTCGGCATGGTTTATTGCACACTTTGTTTGAAAAAAAAATAAAATAAATTTTGATACATTTATGATTTTATTTTATCAAACAATTGGTGTGCAATGAATCAAATGATCTTGGTCTGAGATTTAACCTTATCAAGCGATTTGTCTATGATAAAAATGAAAGTAAGATTAATGAAAAAAAGGCTTCAAAACTTTGAAATTTAACCAAAAGCTAGCTAATAACTTTATTTAATGATAAGGACAGAAAAAACAAAAACAAATAAAATTCTAACTATAAGCGCGTGCACCACCTCAATCTTCTTCAGCTTCATATTTTTTTGACAAACCAGCAACCAGAAACAAAATTGCATTAATGTTCTTAGAAACCAAAAACAAAATCGCACTACTGCTAATTCAAATTAGATTAAAAAAAAATCAAACATAATCCAACACTTCCAAATATCTTTCTATGAACTAACAAAACAGCGTTGAGGTCTTTGCCCTGCTAATTTAACTTTTCTTAATCTCGGAAGAACTTCTCATCCTTTCAAAGCTTGAATCTTTGCCCTACTTCTCAGACGAGTTGGGTCCCCTCTTCTTTCCGATGCCAACCACAGGGGTGACGGATCTGCGTTTGTATTGTAAGCATTTGTGGGCGCGACCCTAGGGCTGCTTCTTCTTATCCTGCTTGACCACTTTGGCTGTCTAGCCTCTCACCTTAGTGGCGCAAGCCAAAGAACCGTGGACCTTTCCCAAGACGGCGAGCCAAAGTACCGTTAGGTTTCATAAACAGATAGATTTGCTGTAATCTTTGACTTATATTAGGGTTAGGGTTTTTATCTAGCTAGATTATCTGGTCTTGTGAATAAGATGAAGATGTTTGGTGAAACCTTGCCAAACAAGAGACTAGTTGAGAAAATGTTAATTAGTCTAACTCCTGCATATGATAATATTGTTCTTGTTATTGAGGGAACTAAGAAATTGGATGAGATTAATCCAAATGAAGTTGTTGCAACTCTGAAAGGATTTAAGCAGAGATTGAAAAGACATACTGAAGATGAGGAAGTGAGTGATAAGGCATTTAGCAGTCTTAGTATCCAAAATAAAAGTGGATCACAGACCAAAATGCTCTCAAACCCTGTTTTAACAAGGAGAACACAAGAGAGGCATGTAAAATATGTGGAAATATACACTATAGTGAATGCAGATTCAAAGGGAAGCCGAAGTGTCACAACTGTGGCAGATTCAATCATTTTGTTAAAGATTGCAAAAGTAAACCAGTTCAACAGGTTCAAGTGGCACAACAAATGGAGGAGGAAACCTCTATGTTCTTTGCTTGTGATTCAACTGCAATTGTTAAAAGTGAACATGTCTGGTATATTAACAGTGGATGCAACAATCACATGACTCCACATGAGTCTGTGTTGATTAATCTGGACATAAGTGTCTCAACAAGAATCAAAATAGGGAATGGACAGATTGTTCAAGCTAGTAGGAAAGGAACTTTGATGATTGAAACCAAGAAGGGTACCAGACACATCAAAGAAGTAATGCTTGTGTCAGGACTGGATGAGAACCTTCTAAGTGTAGGGCAAATGATGCAGCACGGTTACTTCTTATTATTTGGGGATGATCAGGTTGAAATATTTGAAGATACAAGTTTGGAGAGTCATGTTGTTACAATACAAATAACTTGCAATAGGTGATTTCCACTACTTACAGAGGACATGAATGGTTCTGCACTAAAAGCCAATTATGAGGGTGATGCTTGGGAATGGCAAAAAAGGCTGGGACATTTGAATTTCAGTAGCTTGCAGTTGTTATCTGATAAGGAAATGGTGTTGGGATTACCTAAACTCAATAAGTCATCTGGTGTATGTGAAGGATGCATTGCAGGAAAGCAACACAGAGATGTCTTTAGTAAAGAGCTGACTTGGAGAGCAAGCAAGCCTCTGAAATTAATCCACTCAGATGTTTGTGGACCAATGAAGGCCACAACATTTGGAGGAAGTGGGTGCACGTGCTATGTGTGTATGTGAAGATATATTGCCTTCAAGCTCTAGCAAACATGTTATACATACATATGTTTTTGCTGCACATATTTGTCTAATCATGTGATGTTTTCCCTTCATCAGGTTTCCTTGGTTATCAACTATGATTTCCAAACAACCGAGAGCTATACATTCATCGGATCGGTCGTTCTGGTCATTTTGAGCGCAAGGTATGCATGTATTCTAATTTTTATAAGTGTGATATGTTTTTGTCCATGGATCTCGCGTCTATTTTCGTTATGTATGCCAAAACATATTCTTAGTCTTGTTTTGTTAAGTTATGTTTTTGAGTTCTGATCATAATGTGCTATAATTTGATTATTGTTTGCAGAGTGTAGCGATAAATGACACACCCCGACCGAGATCGGAGCGTGCTGGTCGTCACACGAAGGTGACGTAGCCATGTGCACGTGCGGAAGCTAATAAAGTAGTAACATAAAGGTACGAATAATTAAAACTAGCACAAGTGAAATAATAATTCAGAGCAGGTCTATAGCAGTCCAAACGAAAACGACAACAATAGTACGCCCGAAGGCGACCCTACAGTGGTGAGTGTCTGTCAGAAACGTCGAAAAGCCCTCTGGGGAAACCACCGCAACGGCTAAGCAACTAGAACCTGGAGGGGCGCAAAACAAAAGCGTGAGTGGGCAAAAACAAAGCTTTCGAAAACCATTTATAAAATACTATCTAACCCCTCGCCGTAAAACCTGTATACTTCCCAGAAATATATACGCATAATACAAATGCCAACATGCTCAAATATATGTCAAACGTGCTCAATAATATGCCATGCCAAAATCTCATAATGATATGCAAGCGCTCAGGTATAAACATATCAACATCATATAATCTGGCAGCCGGAGTCACCTAACGCGACCTGTACGGCTGCATGTAGAGCTCTAATCTCAATCTCAATATCTGAACCTGACCACGAGTCGGAACCACCAAAAGTGGTCTGTACGACAGGACTGGGTGTGAATAAGTGCTACGATCACGTGAAGCCTGGGCGAATAATCGCGGGTCACCTACGAGTCGGAACCACCTAATGTGGTCTGTACGACAGGCCTGTGCACCTAGCTTGGATCCAAGCTGAGCATATGGTGCGGGAGGTGAACATCACGTGAAGGCCTGTGCCCTGCTCAGGGCGGGAGCACTAACACCGGGGGTGTAGGTTATGAGCTCTCTAAACATCTCAAACATACTAAAACATAAACGTGATTAACGCTTACCTGGCACTTACCTGTGAGTCCACAGCACCCAATATGCATATGTATTTATATGCCACTACTAATGCATGTGATGATGCATAAACGATAATAATAATGTGCATAGCATAAAACAATCAACTCCTTTATCTACTTTCTGGGAATATAAATGTATATAGGTATATACGGAAAACAAAAGCCCACTCACTGGTATGTAGAAGGGTCGTAGCCCCCCTGCCTCGCGTGTGCACGCTCGTCCTCGGGGTACGTGTCACCTATATGCGAAATAGCTATAAAAACGTTAACTTTAAAGCACATAACCAACTTCTTGTAATAACTTCTCATACATTGCTCAAAATGGACAATTGAATATACCAACGTGCTCTACACAACCTCAGGATCACAACCATATTTTTAGAATAATTTTCCTCCGCCGCACGCGCCCCCACGTGCCGGCCAAGGCACGGACCTACGCGCCCCCCACGCGCGGCCACGTGCCATGCACACTGACGGTGTCAAAAAGACGCCGTCAGGAATATTCCGTTAAACTGACAGAATATTCCGTTAAACCTAACTGACGCCGTCCACCGCCGTTAGGAATATTCCGTTAAACTTAACGGAATATCCTCCCTTCTTCTCCGAACAGTCCCCGACGCCGTCGCCGACACCGTCGCCGGAAAACCTGCAACTCATGTTTTCTCGCTCATTTTTCCACCTTTTTCCACGTTTCTTGCACCAAAATCAACCCTAAAGCTAGTAGAACAAGTCCCTACAAGTTTTAAGGCCTAAAAATTACGAGATTATACCTGTCCAAAACTTCAAAACTCGGCCAACTCCACAACCAACGATCCTAACGTCCAAATTCACCCAACGAGCTACTCCCAAGCTCCTGGGAACTTCACAAAGACAACTACAAGCTCAGAAATCCCAAAAACACAATGTATAACTTTTGCATGAACAGTACTCGAATCGGCCATTGTCGAATCGACGTGAAAACGATGAAGTTCTTACCTGAAAATAGTACGATCGTGCTCCTCTCCACCTCACGAGTTCAATGGTGTAGTTGGTTCCCTCGATCTGCAAAGGCTTGAGGGTTCTTGGTGTGTGTCCGTACACTTACAGAAGGAAGAAGAAGAAAGAAGGGAGAGAGAGACACGGGACAGAGAGCAGAGGGAGAGGGAGAGTGAGTCAGTGTGTGTGTGGCCCTACACTTGCCAACACCACACAAAACTACCAAAAACATCACGAAAACCAACTAGGGGTAGAATTGTAATTTCACACGTACATTCTAATAATCCCGGGACGGGATGTCACAATAAACTTTGTCAAAAGCGATGATATCAAGATCTTAAGAGACATCGAACAATACTACAGTACCCAGATTGACGAAATGCTGATGAACGTTGCCGATTGATTTGAGAGCTTTGTTGCGGTCCGTTGTCGTCATCCTCTGGGCAAATTGCTAAGTCGAGGGGTTTTAAGTCGTTGATTAATTGGCGTCTTTGTACTGCTTTGTTAAATATTTTCGGTTTGAATATACTATTTTAAATAAGTTTTTCGATGAAAACATAAAACTATGGATTTTTTTCATTAGCATTCCCTTTTTTGTTGAATGCATCACACATAAATTTTATAAAATAAATTATTTTATAAGGTATATGTAGAAACATAGTTGTGCCTTCCTTTCCTTCTTCTCTGATGTGGGTGTGTGTAGAGAGTATAAGGTATAGGTAGAAAGTATGAGGAATGACAGTAATTCGAGAATGTGTTTGAGGTGTATTAAAATAAATATTAATTAAAAATATATACGTGGAGTGTGTTTGAGGTGTACTAAAATAAATATTAATTAAAAAATATATATTTGGAATGTATTTAATAAGTAAATGTATTTAACCGTATGTGAGATGCGAATAAAACAACCCTAAAATTATATCAGAAACAAATATAAAAATATTAGAATCTACATAATCGCAAAAGGAGCAAAAATATTTGCTTGGGAAACGAATAATTGCTCCGTTGTTTCGAAACTTTCTAACATATCTCTATGATCAAAATACAAGATTCAAATCTATATACAAATTGGAAACCTTTATATAGTTGACTTTACCATCTCTAAACCTACAGTCAATATAGACAGTAAATTAATAATTTTGTATTAAAGAGCTCGGGTGGAAAAATTGTCTACCCCAAAAGGACCATTGTCTACATTCCAACTGTCATGCCTTGAAGTTTAAAATGTGAACTAAGTACGATAATTTACATTTATCATGTTATTCATTATTTTCTTGTATATCTGTCTACATTTTCACTTATTTTCACATTTTGAAAAGAGTTTTATCAATATAAACCTTATTCAATTCGCTTGTATCCTTTTTCAGTCATGTTGGTGAAATGAGTTTCTTTCCATGTAAATTCTAATTACATTGAAACACGTTGTGATTTAGAATTGAGACTGAAATTTTTTAAATAAGGATGTCATCTTTTTCTCATTTTTATTCTAGTAGATTGCTAACCAATGTTAAACCAAAAGAATGCAAGATCATTCAATATGCACTCAAACACTTTTCGCATGAAGCAGGGGTACCTAACACTCCCTCACAGTTATTTTACTACATCCTTATAAATGAATATTTTGTGTCATTTGACTCATTTCAATACTTATACATAACGTAAAATTGACTTGGACAATTGAAAAAAAATGTAAAATTAGTATAGAGTGTAATTTTGTATTTTGAGGTGTTATGGAGAAATTGTCTAATTCCAAAAGGATAATTAGCAATATAAAATACTGGAGGAAACTAAAAAGTTATATTCCTGAATTGGCCAATCTTGTATTTCGGAGTTGATCTATTCCCGAAAGTTGTAACGCTTGTCATTACGAGTGATTACAGCTACATGCAGGAAACGAATCTCAATTTTAGCAAAAAGTTAGAACTAGATATTATAGTTACATTCAAGAAACGAATGATGGTGAGGAGGAGACGGGAAGAAGCTATGTGGTCAGCAAGAGCTAGATATTTTCTTGAGAGGGTGAGAAAAGTTCGCAAAAGGTTCGGCAACGAAAATCAAGGGCGAATTTCATTACAAAAAACAGAAATTGTGCATTGCAGCCACCAATTACGACAAGGAAGAAAAGATCAAAGAGGTATACTCGAGGTCAGAAGTTATTTGATTTATAAATAAGTCACCAACCGCCTTTCTTAAAGAAATAGTTAGTGATAGGCAAGAAGTTGAGAATTATCGCAGGTTCGATGTTAATAAAGTTGCATTATTTACAAATGAGAATTGAGGAATGGTGACATAGAAAATGACACAATTCCCCTAAAACTTTCAAACAAGAAATAATCCATGTTTTTGCCAGTTTCTTGACTCGAATCCAAAGTAACTATGACTTGGAAATCTACTGTAATTCCATTGGACCGCTTGCCGTGGTTTATTTTGAATATAAGT